TACTATGATGAAGAAAGGTTGAAAAAAGTGCTTCTGTCTACTTTTTGGTAAAGAAATAAGAGATAAATATGTCAAGAGAAATATAAAAGTAAGTTGAATACATGGGAATGGAATACTTAAGAAATCAAATCAAATGTTTATTATAGTCAATGACCAGCATACTTAAGAAGCCTGTACAGTAAAATAAGAAGAGATTATTTTTGCTGTGATGTCTATGGCTATCAGATAGCAGGATTGGAGAAGAGCTATAGCAGATATTTGCAACCCAGGTTTAATCTTCTTCTACTATTAGTTTGCATCCTGCCTTTACTTGAAGGTTCCAAAGGGGTCACAGTCAATCTGTCCCCAGCTTATCCTCACCAAAATTTGAGAAGGCATATAGGCTACATAATAGTGATTTTGTTGAATATGAAAATGTAATTCAATATGAACAGACGCAAAGTAATAAATTATGAAAGTGCTAGCAGGGAATTCCAGAACTATACACTAGTCTGGAAAAACCTACCTAGAAGAAGACAGTGAAAAAGCACTTCCATATTATTGCCAAGAAAATTACACAGTCTTATCCTTGTAGCCAGCTGGAGATGAAGTTTATCATAAGATACAGATATCCTGAACCTCTAGCAATAGACCAGGGAATAGCTTATTTAAAGTCTCAAGATGTGTATGCAATAGAATATTTTTTAAAGGCAAACTTCATGAGTTTTCCTGTTAGGAATCATTGCAAAAAGGATTGAAAATCAAATTAAACAAAGCAGCAATATCTTTATATATATCTATGGCATGACTATGTTTGGTACATTGTACTTTTGCTCTAAAAAGTATGTGAACTTGAAAAGAGGCAGAAAATGCAGATAAAATGCATGTGCTATTGAAGTCCTCAAGATTTGTGGTCTTCTGACCTCATCAAAATAAATGAATTTGTCTAATAATTTAGCATCATATGGATTCCTCATCCCATTCCTTATTCCAGTAGTTCCTAAACATTCTCAGTTCACATAACCCTTAGTATTGGTGTTATATTTTCATAGCGCCCCTAAGCTAAAGAAATGTCTAACAGCTGTGTTTCTTTTAAACATTTAAAATATCTGCAAAATTTGACAACTTTATCCCTTTACTCTACATAAAATTGGAGCTCTGTTTTGCTGCCAGCTTGTCCAAGCAGACTGGTAGGAATCTGCTCTAGTTTGTGCATACAAACCTGGATTGCTGTCAGAATGCAAACTTGCACACACAAAGCAAGATTGCTAAAGATGTCACATGGACAGAAACAATGATGTCAACCCCTCTAGGTAGACCAGATAAAGGACTCAACTCCACAGGAAAGCTACATCTATGTTTGTTGAGGTTTGCTGTACTATAGTTATAGAATCTTGCTGAACCTCTTCATATCTTCCTGAGCCACCTCCAAATGTTACCTCATTGAGATCTTAGTGCATTGGTCACTGCAAGAACTTCACGTCCTTATAACTTTACTTCTTTACTCCTGGGATTGTAGGCCATGAAGGAGGGAAGAAAAAGCAGTGTTTTCTGAGGATCCTCTGTAGATCAGCCTGCTCCTTTGCCTTCATTTTTAGAGTCCATTACATCCTAGACACCCTTTCTTCTCCTCAGACCTACCATTTCTCTTCCCCCATTATGTCCCTATATTTTTCCTTTCCTTTTTCACTCCCAATTTTGCAGACTTCCTCTGTGTTGCATGTTCCTTTAAAAAAAATAAGCCAAAACAAAAACAAAAATGTTCCTTGCTTCACAACACAAGGTATTACTATAGAACAGCCACCTCAGCCTAGCCATCAAAGAAGGCCAACCAGGTGTAGGACAAGCTCTGATCCTGTTCTACCTCTGTATATGTTGCCACCCCTTTTCTAAGCATTTCTGCACAGCATAAAGCACTTTGTTCTCCTTTACGGCCTGCCCACTTGGCTATATTGAACAAGCCCATTTCTTTATATCATGTGCATGATTGAGCAGGCTTGTCATCAACAACTCAGTTAGACAAGCTGCTTGGGGCTCTTCAGCTGCTTTGGCTCCAAACTGCATGATCAAATACAGATCACCCACAAATTAGTCTGTAGGACCAAGATTTATCCTAGATCAGTGATGGCGAATCTTTTAGAGACTGAAATTGACTGATTAAACCTTTTTTTTTTTTTGCACATGGCGGCGGAGGCCTAAAGCAGAAAGGTTTTATAAAACCCAGCTGAAGGCCTAGGACTGGGGCGACGGCGTGCATGCCAACAGAGAGGGCTCTGAGTGCCGCCTCTGGCACCTGTGCCATAGGGCCGCCACCACTGTCCTAGATCCAATGATAATGGGCCCGAAGCTACTAATCTATCGAGGGAGACCAGGGAGTTAATCTCTTGATGGGAGTTCATCTGAGCATCACTGAGTGAACACAGCCTGCCACCCTGCTCTACTCCATAGCAGAGGGGAAGAGGTTTTTCTCTCCATACTTCCTTTGAAATGGTGCATGTAGCTTGCTAACCCTTTGGTAACTTAGGCTGGGATGGGAACTGTCTTTTCCACAGATAGTGAGATATCCCACCCCTGCTGATTTGATCTGCTTGCTGCCCACATGCAGCGAGACCAAACGAGGGAGTGTACCGAATGCCACCATCCCTGAGTATCAGTCTTGCATACATAAAACCTGAACTCTGAAGTCTGGACAAGTCAGAATCCAGCATGTTTAGGCAAGTAGAGTTAATTTCATTGTGTGCTTCTTATTGCAGGCCTCCTCTCCCTCTCAAAATTGTTTAGGATCCCTCGGCCTACGGTTTGAGAACTCCTAGGCTAGAGCATTATCTTACAAGCAAAAATGATTATTTGGATGCTCTTTGTCTCAAAAGGAGGAGGATAAAAATGAAAGAACCACTAGAAAAATTATTTGCTTATTTTTCTTGGGATAAAACCAGTAAAGTTCTGCATTTTTTACCAGCATTTAGAACATTTTGGCTGCATTTACATAACATGCCCATCTATTTTGTTTATTTTGTGAACAAATCCCAATTGTCTGTCTTTGACTTACAAATATTCATTTAGTGACCGTTCAAAGTTACAACAGCACTGAAAAAAGTGACTTATGACCGTTTTCCACACTTACGACCATTGCAGCATGGTCAATTTTGGTTGTAAGTCAAGGACTATCTGATCACTACAAGTAATCTGCAACTTATTACCACAATTTTGAGACCAGAATTTCTGTTGCTAAGCATTGAGGTTATGTGAATCATGCCTGATTTTACAACCTCTTTGCCATGGTTAAGCAAATCATTGCAGTCATTAAATGAATCATGTGGTTGTTAAGTGAATCTGGCTTCCCCTGAAAACTTTGCTTGGCAGAAATTGTCTGGGAAGGTTGGAAATGGTGATCTCTCGCAAGCCTGGTATATTGCAACTATCATAAATAAATACATAAAATGCACAAACTGCTGGTTGCCAAGCATCATTTTTTGATTATATGACTGTGGGAATGCTGCATGGTTGTAAATGCGAGGACTGGTCGTGAGTAACTTTTTTCAGTGCAGTTGTAACTTCAAATGGTCATGAAATAAATGGTTGTAATTCAAAGCTATATGTATGCCAAAATATGGTTAACAAACTATAATGATACACAATATAGTAACTAAAATCAAGTAAATCACATTATGGCTTCATGGCATGTGCTACCTCGCCTTTAGATGCTGTATGAAGAGTGAATTAAATTCCCATAATAAAAATAAGAATTTGTATTAAACTTTTCCCCAAGAAGTAGCGATAACTGGTGATAAATATGCACCAATATGATGAATCTTCAGAGACAGTCAAGTAGCCAGGACACATAACTGGTGATACCTGCTGTGATGTGATCTAACAACAAGATTTTAAAACCTACTTCCTTTGGTAAGAAAGTATACTTAGGAATTCTAAAAAAAAAGCATTTGACTAGGTCAGGAGTGGTGAACCTATGACACGGGTGCCAGAGGCGGCACTCAGAGCCCTCTCTGTGGGCATACACACCATCACCCCAGTCCTAGGCCTTCAGCTGGGTTTTATAAAACCTTTTCGCTTTAGGCCTCCGCCGCCATGCGTGAAAAAAAAAGGTTCAATCAGTTAATTTCAACTTCTCGCAGGAAAAAAAAAAGATCTTGCAGAGTTGGAATTGATTGAACTTTTTAGTTCCACCCAGTCTGCCATTACCACTGCAGCCACACCCACCCAATTGGCCATGCCCACCCAATGGGCCACACCCAGCCAATGGGCCACACCCACCCAGCACTCTATGATGCATAAGTGAGTTTTGGGTTGTAGTTTGGGCACTCAAGTCTCTAAAAGGGTCACCATCACTGGACTAGGTGTAAAGAAAATAGGTATTTTGGGAGAGCAAAGGTCTGGGTAATTTTTCTGAAGAATAAAAAAAAGGTTTGCTCATTTTGTCCTTTTATCTTGATAATAAAATTAAATAACACAGCAAATAAAATAGGAGGAAATAAAAAGGAAATGCCTGCATATTATTTTTTCCTAGTGGAACTCTACAGTTTCTTTTGCTTTTATATATTTAAATGAATTAAATTTGGAAGTTCTCTTCCCCTTAGGTCCCTTTGCCAGCTTTATACAACTGTATCCTCGTGGCTAGTAACTACTATAAAAACAGTTTTCAAGCCCATTGTCATCCACATCTAATCAGAAAACCCAATGAATCTAGCTGGTGTTGATTTTTATTTTTTTTAGTATCATTGGCTTTCTTCCCTAAATGTTATTCTGCAAGGTAAAAAAACGGAAAAAGAACGGTCGCCCAACGTGGGGCTCGAACCCACGACCCTGGGATTAAGAGTCCCATGCTCTACCGACTGAGCTAGCCGGGCTCTGTAGTTCCGCCTTCCTGTAGTGAATATCACTCCTTTTTTTTTTATGAAGTGCGCGCGTGTAAAAACGTCTGCAGTGACTCGGCGATCCTTCGTGAGCGCGCCCCCGATACTTTGTGCGATTGGCTCCACCTCCTCGGGTCTGTAGCCTACCGGAGGAAATCATTAGCCAAGACGCTTGGAGGCGGTGTCCAATGGATGTGCGCGTTGTTGAAGAGCGACTGAGACGCGCGAGTGGGTGATCATCTGAAGGGGCGAAAAAAAGAGAGAAAAGTCCGGGTGGGAGCCGAGAGGTGGTTTGTTTTGAGGCTTTCTCCGTCATGAGTTCCATCGGCACCGGGGTGAGTGAGCCGGCGAAAGGAGGGGTGAAGGAAGCGCTGAGCCTTGCCCCGGCGAAGTTTTGTTCGAATTGGGGAAGGGGGGGAAGTGGGGTTCGAAGGTGGGAAGGGAGAGGCGCTGGGAGGGGGAGGTGGCCAAGAGACAACCTAACTGCTTTGCACATACGGGGTCTGTGGGGGAGGTTCGCGCTTTCTATTACGTCACCAGCAGTTGTCTGGAGAACTGGGTTGCTAGTGGCGATGCTGAGTCACAGAAGAAAATCGAAAGCGGAAGGCAAGTCTGACCTGAGGAAAGGAGGCACGTCGTCCTGGAATAGAGTGGGCCTCGGCCAGGAAACTTTCCAGGGCGTTCCAAAACCCTTCCAAGTCTTGGCATCCACTGTCTTTCAATGTACAAGGCCATCGAACTACGGCCGGGGGAACCTGGCTTGCTTATTGACGTCCCTCTTTGGTTTGAGTTTCCCTGCCAGGTTGCTACCTAACGGGCGGTGTTAGCTGAGAATCTTGAAAGTGAAAGCCCTAATCATGCATTCCCTAATTCAGGGGTAGGCAACCTTGGTTCTTTTATGTCTCGTGGGGCTGGCTCAAGAATTCTGGGAGTTGAAGTCCACGACTCATAAAAGAGCCAAGATTGCCTGTTAGTTGCGAAGTCGTGTCCGACCCATTGCGACCCCATGGACAACGTTCCTCCAGGCTTTCCTGACCTCTAGCATCTTCTGGAGTCCATTTAAGCTCACACCTACTGCTTCAGTGACTCCATCCAGCCACATCATTCTCTGTCATCTCCTTCTATTGCCCTCAATCTTCTATTGCCTACCCGTGAACTAGTTACTAAGTAGGGGAAAATTCACGAGCTGTCCATCTTGGCTAATTCATTTGCATTCTTTCAAAGATCTACAGTGAAAAAGCATGTAAACATTACTTTACCTAAGGACTTGTTTGCTATTAGTGACCAGCCAAGCGGCAGCTTTTGAAGATGGGATGGATTGTATTTCCTAGCGTAGCACTCCCTATTTGGGGAGGCAAAAATTCTGACAGGTGCTAAATGAGAGGAGAGTAAGTCTGTTTGCTACCATTCAGTGGTTGAACAAATTTTGATAGCACCATCTATGAGTATGAGATTTTTTTTCCAGAAAGCACATTAACTGGGTTTGTATGATGCACCATTTTGCAATTTTTCTGGGTTTGCAAGACACACTAAACTTTGAGTAATTTATTCATAATGGCATGCCCATTTGTTTCTTTTGGTTTAGCTTATTGCCTAATTGAAGGGAATTCAAGATGGTCGGTGCTTTGAGTTATGCTATTTGGCAAATTTGAAGTCTTTGCTAAAACATGGCATGTGACAGAGAAAATAGTGCAAACCATCAGATGCAAGGAGTTTCAAAGAACAAGAGTTGGAATGCTAACACCTTTTTGCCTAGTCCATGACCTCCTTGCCTCATACAGAATGGAAACTCCAAGTAGACAAATCTTACAATATTCTTACTGGCCAGACAAATTCCATCTTGGCAAAAACAGTGACTCATGATAAAAAGTTTGTAAATCATCACCAGCACTTTGAATTGGCCTGGAAGCCTAAGGTAACCAGAACAATAACTTTCCTAATGCTGCCATGATGCTGTTATGATGGAATTGTCCTGTGAGTAAACTTGCTACCACATATTGAACCAGCTGAAACTTTTGTATTGTGTGCAAATACTGTCTGATGTAGAATACATTACACTAATCAGTCAAATAAAGATAGTCCTTGACATACAACCGGTCAAGGTTTTGACAGACCTGCCTGGGGCTACTAATGAACCAGATTTAAAGTTCCAGTGATGATGTAATCAAATGTTGGAAACTCAGCAACCAGGCTGAGTTTTACAACCATTTGTACCATCCTTTGATCATGTGGCCATGTTTTACAATTTTTTGCCAAAATCTAGCATTTACTTCCAGTTTTTAGCAAAATTGCAGCCATAGCAAACGTTGTTCGCTTAACAACTGTGATGGCTGCCTTATTTCCGTTGCAAAACAGATTGTAAAATCAAGTTGATTATCTGACTAAAAGTTTATGACCCTCGTGACATGACTAATGGGCAGGTTCCAATATGGTCATAAGTCAAGGGCTACTTGTCCTGATCAGGGTGTAAATTACTATTATCAATTCTTCTTGATCCAGGTAGCTCATAATAGATATTACAGCCAAAGCTGGACAGGAACCTTTTACCTGCTACTTAAGCAATAGGCACAAATCTAGGAGGATCTTCAGATTGTGAACCAACCCTTTCTGGTAGAGTTCCACCCCATTTAAAATAACTACTAGGGCCAAAATTGCTGATTTTTTTTATTGACAAAAGCCAACTCTATTTTGGAGGGATTCAGTCAAAGAATACTTTGTCTCATTCAGCCCATTTTGCTGATAGAGCCAAAGAATTCATTTAATTCTGTAAATCTTGATAATAATAATAATAGTAAAGTTGGAAGGGACCTTGGAGGTCATCTAGTCCAACCACCTGCTCAGGCAGGAAACCCTATACCATTTCGGACAAATGGCTGTCTAGTCTCTTTTTAAAAACTTCCAGTGTTAGAGCATTCACCGCTTCTTGAGGCAGGTTCCACTGGTTAATTGTTCTAACTGTCAGGAAGTTTCTCCTTAGTTCTAGGTTGCTTCTCTCCATTAGTTTCCACCTGTTGCTTCTTGCCCTGCCTTCAGGCACTTTGGAAAATAGCTTGACTCCCTCTTCTTTGTGGCAGCCCCTGAGATATTGGAACACTGCTATCATGTCCCCCCTCGTCCTTCTCTTCATTAAACTAGACATACCCAATTCCGGCAGCCGTTCTTTATATGTTTTAGCCTCCAGTCCCCTAATCATCTTTGTATTTAATAATGGTGTAAAATGTGTAAAACGCAGCCACAATAATTTTCCTTAACCTGTATTCTCTATACACTTATCAAAATTTCCAATAGTCATACTGGCTAGAGAGTTTGGGGATAATGAGAGGTGTTGGTTGAAAGCTTAATGTGATGGGTCAGTCGCTGTCTCCATTAAACAAATTTGCCAAGGCACACATGTGACCAGGAGCACTTTTTGTGGTCTTCTATGCAACAACCTTTAAATGATTCTAAGCATAAAGAGTTGCAGTTTGAAAAGTTAATACAACTCATTGCTGTGCTTAGTTTACCAGCAGAGGTTGCTGTTCATTTATGTAAGTCAGTCATATACAGTATAAATCACTATAGTTTCTTAGTTTCAACAAAGCCAATATTTTCATTTTCCTGATTGGAAGAACATAAAATATATAGGCACATTTGTTTTTGCTTAGTGTTTGAACCAAGATATGGCTATTTGCAAACCATGGTTTGTGGCATAATAAATTATAATTCAAAAATAATTAAGAAAACCAGAATTTAGCATGATGGACAAATCCAGCTATGGATTGATTTTTAAAATAATTTGTTTTTATACAGAAGAGTGAATAAAAATATAGTTTATTAATCAACAGTTAAGATTTGATAAGCAGGATAGTGTAAATCTGCCCAAGAATCATGCAAATTATTGTTACTACATAGTAAAAAGTGAAAGATGATTAATATACAGTAAATGGCAATATCATACAGGTAGCCTTCAATTCGTGACTGTAATGGAGACTGCCCATTACAATCGCAAATTGTGATGGTGGATAACGAGATGACCACATTATGGTTTTGCTTAACAACCCCCATCGCTGCTCCAATTGATATGACAGTTAAGCAGAGCACAGGGTACTTCAAAGTTCTCCCTGCCTCAAGTCTCCCAAGACTTCTTTTACTCCCTGAGGTATCTTTTGCTCCACTTGCTGCTCCTTAAGTTCCCTGCATGCTTTGGTCCTGGTTCCCCCCCCCCCACTGGGCCCCACACCCTCCTTCCAACTCCCAGTTACTGCTTGTGTACTTACTTTTAGAAGATCTTTGGAGCTTGTATGAGGGAAGAAGAGTAGGCCACTTTGTCTCTAGGCCACATGGAAATTGGTACCATTTTTGGAACAGGCATAATTCATTGCAGCTGCTCCAAAAATGGTACCCTCTTCCAGGCTGGAGCCATGTGGCCTAGAGACAAAGCAGCCTACCTTTCTTCCCTATAACACAATCTCTCTTGCTAATGTGAGGTATTTTGGTAATTGGAACAACCCTTGAAGTTGCTCAAAAAGGGCAATGGAATGATCATATCGAATTCTGCGGACATGTTTGTTTTCCAGATTTTCTGAGCCAAGGCTGTTATAGTTGTGAGTCTTAGCAATTCTACCCGCATGATATCAACACCTGAGGCGTTATCTGGCAGTTGTCTGATAGTACACGCAACTTCTTCCTGAAGGCTGGCTAGTTCTGTTTCTGCTTCCCTTTCCTCATCATTGGGAGGCTGAGCCTCTTTGTTACTGGATGCAGCTGTCTCTATATTGTTGCCACCTTGATGGTCACCTATTCTTTCCCTTTCATGCTTTTGATGATGCTTTTACCAGCAGTAAAATCCTTTTTGACTTGCACAAGCACATTCCTGGTGTGGCCCATCATGCAGTCCTCTTTTAGTTGCTTGCAAAGTTGGTCCCAGAATAATTTGTTGTCTTTCCTTAATGCTGTTTGGAAATCTGCATTCGTTCTACTTGCTTCTTCCTGTTTGCAGCTTTTTTTCACTTGGCTATTCTGATAGTTTCATCTTAGAGCAACTTGTACTTTTTCTCTGGCTTCTTGTATGGTACGTTCAACTGTTGCTTCAATGATACGTGATTGAATTTCTTGCTAAAGTTTGTCAGGCATCATTTCAGCAATGTCCGGCAGTTCAAATTTATTTTTCATCTCAGTAGCACACATGGAAGGGATTTTGGTGATGTCAAACTTCTTTTGATGTTGCATAATGTGACTCTGATCATAGCTGCCAACAATTCATGATCTGAACTGTAATTGACACCTGGATATGTGTTGACAGCAAGGAATGGACCATTGATGACTGCATAGGACAGTGATGGCAAACCTTTTAGAGACCGAGTGCCCAAACTGCAACCCAAAACCCACTTATATATCGTCGGGTGCCAGGTGGGTGTGGCCCATTGGATGGGTGTGGCCCATTGGATGGGCGTGGCTGCAGTGGTTACGGCAGACTGGGTGGGAATAAAAGGTTCAATCAATCAATTCCAATTTTGCAAGATTTTTTTCCCGCAAGAAGTTGAAATTGATTGATTGAACCTTTTTTTTTTTTTTTGCACACGGCGGCGGAGGCCTAAAGCGAAAAGGTTTTATAAAACCCAGCTGAAGGCCTAGGACTGGGGCAAGGACGTGTGTGCCCACAGAGAGCGCTCTGAGTGCTGCCTCTGGCACCCGTGCCATAGGTTCGCCACCATGGGCATAGGACATAGTCGATTTGATTATGGTGAAGTTTATTTGGTGATGTCCAAATGTATAAGTAATGCTTGTGCTGTTTGAATCAGGCATTCTTGATTCAAAATAGATTTTCATGGCAAAATTGAACCGAACAATCACTTGCATCATTCCTCACCCCAAACCCAAAGCTGCCAATGATGTCCGTTTCTGCTTGGCTGCCAATGACGTCTTTTGGGGACACTATTTTAGAATATTTTTGATACTGGCATAGAAACCTGTACAGGTAGTTTTTAATTTACAACCATTCATTTAGTGACCATTCAAAGATACAACGGCACTGAAAGAAGTGACTTATAACCATTTTCACACTTAAAGACTGTTGCAGTATCCCCATGATCACGTGATCAAAATTCAGCCATTTGGCAACTGGTATGTACAAGGGCAATTCGGAAATAAACTTCCATTATCAATGACAGACACTCGCAGATATAGAACCTTTATTATACACATTAGAAAACTACAACATTACATTACTTTTCAACATAATTGCCATTCAAATTGAGGCACTTGCCATAACGTCTTATAAGGTTTGAAATTCCTTAGTAGTAGTCGCTCAGCGCTAAATCCAGGCTATGGGTGGGTGATCCAAAACATCCCAATGGAACTGCTTCAAAAGTTCTTGGGTTTATCTAGCGGTGTATGGGCGAGCATTATTGTGAACCAACACACACCGGAAGTCAGCATGCCATGACGCTTGTTATGGATGGTTCATCTGTGTTTTCGTAATGTTTCACAGTGGACTTCTGAATTGATGGTCAAACTATGCTCCATGAACTTCACTAACAGTATTCCTTTGGCAACTTCACATTTGGCAGGATTTTCTATGGCACCATTTCCGGTGTGGTGTTGGTTCACAATAATGCTCGCCCGCACACCGCTAGACTCACCCAAGAACTTTTGAAGCAGTTCCATTAGGATGTTTTTGATCACACCCCCATAGCCTGGATTTGGCACCAAGCAACTACTACTAAGGAATTTCAAGTGCCTCAATTTGAATGGCAATTATGTCAAAAAGTAATGTAATGTAGTTTTCTATGTGGATAATAAAAGTTCTGTATCTGCAAGTGTCTGTCATTGATAACCAAACAGAGGTTTATTTCAGAATTGCCCTCATATTTATGACGGTTGCAGAGTCTGCAAACAAAGTCAATGGGGAAGCCAGATTTACTTAACGACTGTGTTACTAACTCAGTGTTTCCCAAACTTGACAATTTTAAGGCATGTGGACTTCAGCTCCCAGAATTCCACAGCCAGCGATGCTGGCTGTGGAATTCTGGGAGTTGAAGTCCTCATGCCTTAAAATTGTCAAGTTTGGGAAACACTGTACTAACTTAACAACTGCAGTGATTTACTTAGCTGTGGCAAGAAAGGCCGTAAAATGGGGCAAAACTCACTTAACAACTATTTTGCTTAGCAATAGAAATTTTGGTCTCAATTGTGGTTGACTACCTGTATTTCAAACTCTGTTGCATCAGTCACTGGGTCGTAGACTTGGATAACTGTGATTTTGAGAGGCTTGGCACAAGATTAAGATGGTTACCCACTTACAACTGAGACAGTGTACAAATATAAATATTTTTATCATTGACAAGTGAAGGAGAGTGAGCGAGAGAAAGTGTGCGTGTATAAACACTTAAAATATTTAAGTATTAAAATAATGTTTCTGCCCCTTAAAAATTAGTATTCTGAGTATGTGCTGAGCTATAATGATTACTAGAAAGTTTAAATGAAACATAACTTGTAATACTTCAGAATGAATTTCTGATTCTTTTTTGGGATAGGAATAAATCCAGAGAGAATACCTATGAACTGTTTTTGCTAATCGGAATAAGTGTTCTGGGGAACCATACTTTATGGCTGAAGTCTGCATTCTTCCTCCTGGAGAGTAAATGCTATTGAGCTTAATTGACTGATTTTTGAGAAAATATGCTTAGAATTGTATTTTTATCCTCATCTGGAGCTAATGAAGAATATTGTCTTCTATGTTTACATTTGTTTAGTAAGTACAGAATTCCTTTGCATTTTGAAATTTAATAGTGGGAAACCATTAAATATTGTATTTTATTTATTTATTTTTTATTCTACTCATTTCCCCTGTAAGGTGATTCTGGAGAATATTCAGGTATCAAGGGATGCAATGAAAGGCTAATGAATACAATTTTACTATTTTTGCTTTATAGAAAAAAATGATTTTTTTTCTTACAGTATGATCTGTCAGCCTCTACATTTTCTCCAGATGGCAGAGTATTTCAAGTAGAGTATGCTATGAAAGCTGTCGAAAACAGCAGGTAAGATTTGAATTTTTACATTCTGCAATAATGTAGTCAGTTACTTTTGGGGATTCCATTAGTCCAAATAACTTAAATACTGTCTATTCATATTTTTATTTGAATCTCTGAAATTCTCTGAAACAAGGTATAAAAAATGAAATTATACTTGCAGCTAATTCACTGTAGAGTGAATTCAGTTAATACATCTAATTATTTCAAGAAAGCAACCTTGAAATACCGACCGTAAAGTCTAATGGAAAGAGAGAGAGAAGCCTATTGAGTTGGCTTGCCTGAGAAGACTGATGGACCCTGGTTAGAATCCAGGAGGAGCTTAGGGTTTTCCCCAAGGACCTGTCATGCATTTCACAAGGCCTCCGCTGCAGTCTGGAATAGGCATGTGACGAGGACTACCTGATTGCAGGCAGTTTTTTTTATTCAGTTTGTATGACCACCCATCCGAACAAGCGACTCTGAGAAGTGAACAATATTAAAATAAAAATAAGATGGTATTGCGATAGACCATCAAGAGTTGTTTTAGGTTCTCTGTAGGTAGACTATTGGTTTTACTATTGCAGTTTTTCAAACTGAAATGGGGAACATACGGGCACTCCGGAGTTTCACCTATAATTTTTTTTAATGCTGTATTGCTTATAAAATTTATTTGTTATATATCTGCTTGTTATATAGCTCTTCTTTATAGGAGTAATCAATCCCATGCTATACTGTACTTGTGGAAATAATTTAAAATTTGATTTGTCTAGAAGAATTGACGAGAAGCAATGTTTATTACCTAACCTGTAGCTGTGCATATTTTAAAACTAAATTCAGTAATTTATTTTTTAATTGAGACTGTTTTGCTTAGAGTTAAGTTATTAAATCAACTCACTATTTTAGATTTGACTTTTAAAATTAAATAAATTCCTTTAAGGTGTTTTCTTTCTATTAGGTTACTGAAGTGTCCACAGACAACACAGAATTAATGAATTTGTAGAGGCCATTTTGGTGATGCAGCCTAGTCTCTAATCTGTGTAGCAATACAAATCCTATCAGACTAAATGCAATAAATATATTTGACTAATTATTATGCTTCATTTTCTCTTCAGTACAGCAATTGGGATACGATGTAAAGATGGTGTTGTTTTTGGAGTAGAAAAATTAGTTCTATCCAAACTGTATGAGGAAGGATCCAATAAACGTTTGTTTAATGTTGATCGACATGTGGGAATGGTGAGTTGGTATTTCCTTATTATTTAGCATGCAGCTAAGTACCAGCACCCAAATGATCTTGGCTGACCTTAAAAAACTAAGCAGGGTTTTTAGAAACTTCATAGGAGACTTAATTTATAGCCCTTTGTTTCCTTGTAGATTCAGATTTTTTTTAAAAAAATCCTACTTCTGTAAACTACTTCTGTACTAATGCCAAAAAAACAACATGGATATGTCCATGTAGGCACAAAAATATCAAGCTTGATTCATGGGAGACTTAACTCAAGTTTTAATAGAAACAACCCTATAATTAAACTGTGTCTTGGATAATCAGCTTGTAACTTTCAACTTGTAACCAGGAAGCAATTGGGGCTTCATCTTGTAGGGGCAGAAATTCTGGTTTATCCAGTTCTCAAAACATGTGCCTGGCAATCACATTCCTGATATAAAAGATACTGCCAGAATGAGGTGTAGAGATTGGCATGTTGAGTTTTAAATTTCTGTTTGCTTAGGTTCTGAAATGTGCTTCTATATTTCAGGCAGTAGCAGGACTCCTCGCTGATGCCCGATCTTTGGCTGACATAGCAAGAGAAGAAGCTTCTAACTTTAGGTCCAACTATGGTTATAATATTCCATTAAATGTAGGTTATTGTTTTATCATAGCTACTTTTTATCATAGCTGAGAAACACCTAAGCCACATTAAATTGTTGAAATTTAGAAACGTTTAGTTAACCATATTTTATTATGAATTATCTTACCAGAATAGCAGCTGACTCTACAGTAACTGTAATCTACAGCCAGATTTATAATCCATGGCTTGAAGTTATCTTGTTTTGAAATTAATTACAGTTAATTAAATTACAGTTTGTTATTCTAGATAGCATGAAAAGTTGAACAAGGGCAAATAAAACCTTCTAAACCTACCCAGCTTCATGACACAGAGAGGGTAGGGCTGAGTGAGTGACCTTCTGGCTTACCACTTTTGTTTTGGAAATATAAGTTGAATTTATCTCATTTTATTTTAAATGGAAATATTACTTCCAGTGCTCTAAAATTATTTTCCTTTCTCCCTATAGCATCTTGCAGATAGAGTTGCTATGTATGTCCATGCCTATACTCTATATAGTGCTGTAAGACCTTTTGGCTGCAGGTATCAACTTTTCTTACATTATTATTCAGTGTACCCTGGCATTAAAAATTTCAGAGCAAGTAATAAATCACAATCTATTTCTCTTTAACCCCTGAATGCTGATAGAAAAAATAAAGCCATTCCTGTAGATCTTGATTATTACAAACCTGAAAGAATTTTCAAAGTTGGGAATGCATTGCAAATAACATTTTTTGGTTTGTTTTTGGGCTCCTGGCAATTGCTTGGATTAATTCCTGCAGTTTTCTTGGAAAGGTTTTTTTTTTTTTTTTAAAGAAATGGTTTGTCATTACCTCCTTCCTAGGACTGAGAGATAGTGACTGGTTCAAGGTTATCCATCTGGCTTTGTGTCTAAACTGAGTCTAGAACTCAGTCTCCTGATTTCTAGCTTGATGCCTTAACCATTACACGAAACTGAATATATGGGCTATCCCTATATATTCTAAATAACTATAGCAGTAACAAGTATAATTATAAATTCTTGAGCAATCAGATTAAGTAGAAAGAAGAGAGACAAACCATTCAAAATAGCAACAAAGGAGGACACAGGGAGATAAATTGGTTAACGCATATATTGTAACATAAAATTTGCTCAAACAAGGTTTATTGAATAAATCACAATTTACTTGATTCACAAATTCTAGACCAAAGCAAGAGCACATTTCATAGCTAAATAAGTGAACCTTTTTTTTATTTACAAATTTTATTTATAATACAGTTAAAAACAAACAAACATTGGATTTAACGTGACATTCCAGTATATACATTCTTATCAGATTATTCCACTTTTTACAATCAATTCTTCATCTCTACATATACATCTAAGTTTTATATACAATACTTGTTCTAAAATAACATATATTTCTATCTTAACATTCATCTTTAATCCCGACTGTCCTCTTCAAATTCCTCCAGCGGTAAAATTTATCCCAGGTTTCATAGTAAACTGATCCACATTTGTCTTTTAATATCATTGTGAGCCTGTTCATTTCCGCACATGCTAATATTTTATGTATTAACTCTTCCTCTGGGAATTTCCTTGCTCTTCCATTTTTGCGCTAAAGCAAGCCTAGCTGCAGTCAGGATGTGTAGCAGCAGGTAGATTGTTCCCTTGTCGTATTTTTTCTGTCGTTATTTCCAACAAGAAGAGTTCAGGTTTTAACTCTAAGTCCAGTGTTAATATATCCCTCAACCAGTTTTGTGTCCTGTTCCAATACTCACGAGTCTTTGGACATTCCCACCACATATGGTAGTATGAACCTATTGCTGTTTTACATTCCCAGCATAGGGGTGAGATGTTTGAACCCATTTTGGCTAGCCTTATGGGTGGGAAATGCCACCTATAAAACATCTTATAAAGATTTTCCTTATATGAGGTAGCTAAAGTGAGTTTCCTATTCCTTTCCCACAGTTCTTGCCAAATATGTAGGTCGATACTGAAACCAAAATCCCTACTCCAAATTAACATGGTCTCCTTAACCTGTTCTTCATACATTGTCTGATCTAAAAGAAAATGATATATTTTTTAAATTATTTTATCCTCGGGACCTAATAAAATTTTATCTAGTTCTATTGGTTCTATCTTTATACCCCACTCTTTTTTATCTTGCCTATATCTTGCTTGTAGTTGGAGGTATGCCCACCATTCTAATTCTATCCCTGCATCTTGGAGATTCTTCTCGATTTTAATTCTCTCTTGTCTAGTATGTTTTTATAGGTCATTACTTCTCCCAACTGAATAAACTTTGGGTGTATGTACATTTCTAGTGTTGAGATCCAATTGGGGACTTGCCTGTAGTTCTGTCATCGAATTTTGATCCATACATCCATTAGTGCCCGTCTGATGTATGCCTCCGGAAAAGTACTGGTGAACTTTATGCTTCTCCAGAAGGATGGCTGTAGAGTCCACTGGATGGGTTCTATGACAGCCTTCCTGCCCGGCAGACTGGGTAAAAAACTTTGGCCACACCCTTCCCTTGGGCGTGACCCGTTTTGACTCAGTCTCGAAGCCCGTCAGCAGTGAGATTCTTAGCTCCTGACAAAAGATTTTTACAATTAGGCCTAAAACCCTCTTCTCTCTCTGCCAAATTGACAATATTAGAAAACTCACAGTGAGTCGTTCTCCTCTCAGCTGTGGCTCGGGGCTCCGAGCAGCCGACAGATGGCCGTTCCTTGAAGGCGTCGCTCCGAGGAGTGGTGAGAGTATCAAAAAAAAAAAAAAAAAAAAACAACCGAGAGAAGCTGCGAGAGGCAGTGGAGACATTAGGGAGCGCCAGCTGCCCTTTATCTCCCGGATCAGCTGGGGCGCGCAAGACTCGAAGCCCCAGGGCCAGTTAGAACAGCGGCGCCTAGGATTTAAAGTAAGGTTGCCAGCAAACGGCAACTCTTCCATTGTTTAACGGCCGTTTTATTTCAACCCGCGGCACGCCAGATCGCCTGGGAAAGCCGCGGTCCGTTCCGGAAGGTTCGTGAGAGGTTTTTTCGCACCTAGCTTCTGCCGCCCCCAAAGCCTCCTCAGCCGACGGAGCGACCGTTGGAGCCAAATTCGCCATTTTGAACCTCGTGGTTCTCCTTGGCAATTAGCAGGAAGGCGTGGCCTTCACTCAGACTCCATTTTTGGGTGTATTTCTTATAGCCTCCATTTTAGGTGGCTCATATACTTGGAGTTTTTTCCCACAAGCAGTGAGGGATAGAGAGAGAGAGGGAGAGGTAGAAAGAGCGAAAGAGAGTTTATAAGCACACCCTGTGGACTGTCTTTACAGCCACATATTGGGGAATACATACAACGCCAACAAAGGATTTGTCTTCTAATCCGGGCCATTGCAATCGCCCTTGGTGAAGGAGAGGGAGGAAAATTTGAATTGGTCCACTGTTCTTCAAGGTGACCTTTAGTCACTGCCCCACAGGATCCTTCCTTGCAAAGGGACCTGTTTGTCCGGCCATTGCGTTTTCTTCTGTGCAGAATAAGCCGTGCAGGCTTCAACCATCTGCAACTGGTCTGCGTACAATTTATTCCCCACTGCAGGTATTGCCTACTCGGGATACCTGGCCACAATGGCAGACAATGTCTCGCATTCAGCTATACAGGGTCCCCAATTGCCCCCCCCCAACAACAAAAACGCAGATCCTCAGAATCTGAGGTGGGGGGGGGGGAAGAAGAAGGCTAAAACAAAACACCTTAACCAAAGGAGACCATCCAAAACAGCTGAGCGAGAGGCCTCGAGGAGACATTTGGCTCTAGAAAGTCAGTTTGCCAGGGCCCAGAAAACCAGTTCCAATGGGACAAGCATGGTTTCCCCTGCCCCATTGGTGGCTCCTAATACAGAACCTACTCCCCAGGAAGTTCTCAGAACTTGGTCTCCTCTGGGGGAAACCGAACAGTTGGATTCCTCCCACTCCTCTTCACCTGCCTCCTCACCAGACCATACTCCCATTGTAGCTGCGTCCATGGACAGAGCTCAGGACATATGGTCTGCCCAATTTCAGGCATTCATGCAGGATGCCTTTTCCCAGTTTATGGCTTCTAAGGGCCAAGTAGCCTTTCAACCATCCCTTAAGGGACGAAACAAGGCTCCGGCTACAAACATTTCTGAAACTTCCTCTCAAATAGGAGAGGGAGAATCACTAGACCTAGACATGACTGACATGCCCCTTTCGGAGGATGAGGGGACCGCTCCTGAGCAGACGACAAGCTCTGGCCTCTTTGATCCAGCTCTTCTTAAATCACTTTTGATAAAGGCAGTCTCTACGGTCAATTTGACCTCAGTTCAGGAGGAAAATCCTTCCACAAGCAAGGAGGCAAACCCCCTCTTTGCCAAAAAAGTACCACAGGACAAGTACATTCCTTGTCCTGAGGTTTTCCGCACCTCTGTAGAGGAGCAATGGTTTTCCCTAGCAACACCACCTACACCGAATAGTGTGGAAAGGAAGCTTTTCAATGTGTCTCCTTCCTTCTCCAACATGCTAGATGTCCCCACGGTAGACAGTCCCCTGATCTCACTATTTTCCACTTCTGCGATTCCAGGAGACATAGCGGAGGCCTTGAAACCAGAGGAAATGAAATTTGAGCACTCCCTCCGTCGTTCCCACATGGCTGCAGCCTGGGCGGCCAAGGCGGCAACATCATCGTCGTTCTTCGCCAGGGCCTGTATTATGTGGCTTCGCGAGCTACAAACCACTGTACCTCCAGATCAGGTCAGATCCCACCAAACTTTGGCCAAGATACTGGCTGCCTCACAATTTATGGCTGACGCCTCACTTCACGCAACCAAGTATGTAGCAAGATCAATTGCGGCCACAGTAGCCTCTCGCAGATTACTGTGGCTCAAAAATTGGAAGACAGACCTAAAGGCCAAGTGGCGTCTATCCACATCCAAGTACAGTGGGTCACTCTTGTTTGGATCCATTTTGGATCCACATGTAAGTGAGAGTAGGGACAAAAGGAAAATTGTAGTCCACCCATCAAAGAAATTAGACAGGAGAGGTACTCAGGAATTCCGGAGACAAGGTTTCCGCCCAGGCAGCTCCTGGGACTGGAGACAGCCCTTTCGATCAGGGCAATCCTGGGACTGGTCTAGAGGCTCACGATCCTTCTATTCAAGACAGGATCGCTCCCAGGATCGCCCAAACATGGGAGCCAGAGGCCAATTCCAATCCAGGCGTCCCTTTAGAGGATCGGGAGGCCGACCCTTTAAACGCTCCAAGTGACGCCATGCAGGACACTCCCATAGGAGGTCGGTTAGGGAATTTCATCGAGGTCTGGGAGCAGATCACTACCGACGCCTGGGTATTGGAAACAATCAGACATGGCCTGACCTTAGATTTTTGCTCTCCCCCACCAAACTGATTCATCAGATGCCCCATTTCCAGAAAGACACACAAGGCAAGGTTGGTAACCTCGGCCATTGCACACCTCTTGTCAATTCAGGCCATAGAAAGGGTACCAAGGGAAGAGGAAGGAAGAGGATTCTACTCCATCCTCTTTGTGATCCCAAAGACATCAG